GCCTTAGATATTGCGGGTGTGGATGCCTTCCAGAGCCAGATTCCCCAAATATCCCCAGAGAGAGACCTGACAGAAAAAGCCATAAGACAAGCTTCAAAGGACACACACAGATTGGCTGCCTCGCCTCCACCACACCGTCCTTTCTTCCTCCTCCCTGCTCCTCATCTCGTCCCCCTCTCCTGTTCTTCTCTATTCATACATCAGATGGAGGAACGCCGGGTGGAAGGAGCGAACGGATACATTTGCAAGCCGTTCCCTTGAGGGACTGTAAGATTGCCTCTATTTGGATGGACTGTCAGTGGCCTAGGGCTCTTATCCCCAGACATCCGCAGCTCTGTGCCGGATTCCTTATGAGTTTCCTCACCAGTGCCTGAACCAGGCCTGCAGCTTTGCAGTGTGCCATCTGTGCCCGATGGAAACTCAGGCTGAGAGCTGGTTCTCTGTGGGGGTAATCTCCCCACAGGAGTCCCTTTGATCAGAGTCGGTGCATGCAGCACGGCCATAGGTAGTGTGACAACAACCAGACAGTTTGGGCCAAGGCCTTTGTTGACTGACCCGACAACCCTGACATTAGTGTTAGGTTAAGGCAATGCTGATCCCGGAAAAATAAGTTAAAGTTTTCAAATTAAGAAACTACACACGATGTTAATAATCATTGCAGCGATGTGTTGTGGGACATTTGGATGCAGAGTTTTTCTCTGTTTTGAGGACTGTACCTTTGAAAAAAAAATAGGAACAAAACAATGTGCAAAAAAATACAGGCTTTTATATATATGTATATATATATATATATATGTATATATATATATATATATATATATATATATATATGTTTTATTACATAGAAAATCATCTGTTTTGTTCAGGTTTTTCAAGGTGAGAAAAAGTCTGTGTATGTGTGCTTCAGACATGTTAATTTGCACTGTCATTATGTGTGTGTGTGTGTTTTTGTGCGTGTTGTCAAAATGATGGAAGAGTTTTTTTTTTTAATCTTCTTGTGTTTTGTAATTTGCATTTGTTTTCTTGTGCTGATGTTGTTTTTCAGTCCTCATGTAAATCTTCCTGCCCAGTAAGATATATGTGGCTTTTTCTATTCCACATTTTAGCAGGAGATTCTCTTTCATTCTGAACTTCAGATATTTTTTTTTTTTCTCTCCAAAACGAGCTCTCTTTAGAATATATTATTTAGTGTTTTATCACACGTCTGATGTCCAGACCTACTCCAGGCTCTGTTTTTGTGGTCATTTCTGACTCGTCTGCTTCAGCATGTCATTGTTAACTCTGCTGATGGACGTAAACAGAGGACTTTGGTGAAAGGAGGTATGAAAACACTGAAGCCAAAATGCCTTGCTCTCGTCTCACAGTTCTTTCATGCTCCTCACGCTTTCTCGTATTCTCACTTTTCTCTGAGGATCCGGGGAGCAGGAAAAACAGATCCGTCTTTGTTTTACACTTGCGCTCAAAGAGAAATATTCATTAAGTCTCTCTCAAAAGTGGAGAGGCCACAGTGGACGAGAAAAGGAGATGGTAGGACAGAGCGAGGTATGGTGTGTGCAAGTGTGGGCTCATCTTTCGTTTGCTTGTCATGATGACGGAGCATCAGTATTATAGCAAATAATGGTGGCATATAATGAAGCAGCACAGGGCAGAGTGATTGCACTTGCACTGGCTGGGCCCATTACTTAGTAAATAATACATGCCCTGAACACCAGCAAGAGTTCTAGTGATGTAATGTAAGAACAAAATGAGAGCCATAATCACTATGCGGACCACGGGAGGGGAATGCATTAGCATCACAGATGGATGTCTTAGATTCTCAATTGCTCATCATGACAAATGTAAAATAATTAAACAGTCTACTCGCTATTCTTTATCCAAAGGGATCCATGTGTCTTATTTGTCCTTAAAATAAATGGAGGGAAACACAAACGCATCTTCAAGAGAATCACATCAAATATGAATGTTTGTATGGAGCGTCTGTGGATAATAAAATGATTTTTCTTGATAGTCAGAGCAACATATAATGCAAGGCTGGTCTGAATCTGAAGTGTAACTAACACTAAGCAGAGTAACATCAGAAGACAGAAATGAATGGCAATAATTCTGTCAATTTCTATATATTTCTTTATATGATGTAATTTGAAAAACAATTAAGCACATTCCTACTCTGTGATTTGGGTCAACCTGTTATCCACAGGGCCGTGCACCCAAATTATTAAATGACTTATTTAAGCATTTGAATAATTTATTTAAAATTTTAAATAAATACATTTTAAAAAAAATACTCTAAGGGCAAGATTGAAGTCATTATTGCCATCATTGGCCAGATATGTTGGGTTCATGGGTCAAAATTGGACCCCAGGTCGAGTTATTAACCATTTGTTCTCTTGTATGTTTGAATTCACTTAGCAAGCCATGTTAAAATGCTGAAATATGTTAAGATGAAACTTATATTTTCTTTTCTTTGTTTATTTCTTTTTACAAATGTAAAAAAGCCAGAAAAAAAAGTTAAGATAAAAGCCAAAAAGTCATAATAAGCATTGACCTGTATGCAAACTACATACAGGTCAGTGCAGAAGTGCGGTCACTGCTGAGTACGATTTATGCTACTGTCTGGACATAAGAGACAGCTAAAAGGTTATGAGGGAATTTTACGAGATGGAAGTGAAGTCCACTTTGATACATGGTTTGGAGAGTGCGGTCAAAAGGGCAGCTGACCTCTGTACGTTATGAAAGATAAATTGACCATTAAGATTTCATCGATGGAAAATTAAAAGCAAGCGTACGTGATGGTGATGGGGTGAATCATACGCCATGAGATCTGTACGGTCTCTGTGAGAGAGAGGCCGTTACTGGACTTACATTTCACAACTAAAAAAAAGAAAAAGAGTGTGCCTGACTGACCTGCCTGCAGTCCAGAAAATGCCTGGTGCATTGTGAAGAGAATCACTGGCAACCACAGACTCTTACGTTGGTGGTCTATGTCCTTTGTGCAGCAAACCTAACTGTTTTCACCCTGATTGAGTTCTCCTGCTATTTTATTGTAATTATTTAATGTGTTTCTGTAGTTACTGCCTGGACTTTTCAGACAACAGTAGCCTCTGTGTTCTCTTTTGTTTCTACCTGATTGAAATCCTTAGTTTGTCTGTAAAGGTTGGATGGATAGAAATAAAACAAAACAACATGAATCACTCCCTCTCCCTTTCCACGATAAAAAAAGCTTTTAGGGTGAAAAATAGATGAGGACCTGTTCTGTTATTAAGTTCTGACAGAACAACTTGTCTTTTCTGTAGCAGACCTTCACTGAAATGATGCAACGGTTGACAGAGGGATTGAACTTGTCTTTCCTGTGGACACAGGTTTATGGAGTGTCAAGAGCCTCAAGTTCCTGAGACACATTTTCAGATTAAAGGAGACAGAATATGGACAGGTGTCAATAACAAACAACGGTGTCTCGTGGTGAGCACCAGAACATAACCCCCAAATAAAGGTCCCCAGAGACGAGCTGCTCACCTCTGAGAGTTGTTGCAACATCTGACGACACCTTCATTGATAGTTTCAGTGACGGCCTGCAGCATCATTGCCCTCAGCCACTTTTCAAATGCCACCTCCTCCTTTGCCCTCAAATCCCATCCACATCATCTTTCAATCTTCATCCTCCTGCTCCTGCGGCTTATTGATTTTCTATTTTCCCTTTTTCTCCCCCTCCTCTACCTTACCCTGCAGCTCCCTCAATCTCCTCAAACACACTTCCTGCAGTCCAAACCCTCTCTCTAAGGTTATTTTTTAATTCTATAAAAAATTCTTTCTCCCCTCTCTCTCTCTCTTCGGCTCTGCGGTTGGAGTTTCTCCTCTTTGACAAGGTCGAAGTCCTTTCCATGCTCGGAGCTGCTTAAGCCTTTGTAAATGGAGATGTAATGTAATAAAGTGGCAGAATAATACAATCTGCGAGGGCAGGGTCTGATCTTGTTAGAGAAGGTTGGGTTGGAGAGATTCCAGAGGGTTCTGAAGCATCAGGGGGCTGTTTGAAGGCTTTGTTCCAGAACTAAGCTCTGAGATGTGTAAGAAATGGTTCTGGTTTTTGAAATAGTCTTAATTTCTCGCAGTTTAATCAAAAGAACATGGTACATTAAAATGCAGGGGGTAAAAAGTGAACATTTGTGTAATTTGTGGGGTCGCAGCAGACCTGGGCATTGTACAGCCTGGGGGCAACATCTGACTATCTCCAACTGGCCTAAAATAATGTGTAACTATGAGACTTCTATTCTGATAGGTGGAAGAAATACAACTGACAGGCTTTTATTTTGAAGGCAACTATTTTGGTTATGTTTTCACTTATGTCCTGACAGTATACTCAGCTTTGTAGTGTCACATACAATTCCAGGACAACATCAGCCAATCTCTGATGGGAAGTTTGTCAATAGATACTGTGTCTGTCTACTCTAGGGCATTAGAGCTTTATTTATAGCACCCCCTTCAGGTAGGTTTGGAAATACAAGACTATCTTAGTTTAGTTCTCCAGTGGAAAAATACAATTCACAAATGTTTAAAATTATTTAACATATAATTTCCCTTTATTCCAACCTTATCAAATTTATTTTATCTGGAAGTGTATCGAAAAAATCAAGAATAGCTCAGATGTTGGATTAAAAATGCTACAACTGTGCCGCAGATGCTAATCATGACCATGAAGAGTTAAAGGTTTTCATACATGCTATGATAGTATATAATCACATTGTCTGCTCAGGTTAAATATGACATCAATTTCTAATAAATCTTAAAAGGTCACCAGAGAATAAAACTGATGTTTCCCCCTGTGCCCTACATAAATTCTTGCCATAGTAAAAAAAATTCTCAAGGCCTTTTTGATGAAGCTGAGGGGAAAGCTGACAGTGGAAGAATGAACAACCTTGTTTCCTAAAAGAAAGCTTTGTGTTACTTATTGTTCTGCCACCTCCTCTCCAGTTCTTTAACCCTGTTAGTTCTGTTGTTTGCTGCAGGATGGACCACGGCTTCTTCCTCCGTCCCCTCAGGGTTGACCTTCAGCCTATGATACAGTGGGATATCACCCAGTTTGGCAGCGGAGGACCAGAAACCTTCCACGGCAAGGACACATCTGTTGTGGATCTATCACCCGCACCACAGTAAGTGGCACTTCCTCGTGGGGTGACACAGGGATACATCACACAGTGACACAACAGCAGGTCAGTGCTGCAGGTCTGCCTGATACACCAACAGATACTGTAATGTAAGAAAATAAAACATAAATAAAAATATCTCCGCTGATTCCATTTTCTGCGTATGTACATATATGTACGTATATGTGTATATCTACGTATATATACAGTACTACATATATGTTAAAAAAATCTATAAAAGTCTGGAGTGTTGGTTCTGTCAGGTTATGCATCACAGACTGAGAATAAAAAAAGTCACAGAAAAAAAGTTACAATTTTCTTTCATCAACCCTTGATGCTATAGTTCCAAGATGTTGAACAAAATATAGTGAAATTCAATTTTAGAATTTTAATTTTAACAGGCAAATTTGCTATTTATAATACTGTCTTTTAGAAGATGTATGTCTGTTGTGTGAATGACTTTCTTATTGTAAGTTTTTCTCCTTGCCCTGTGTCCTACCAATTAATTGCGTTGTTATTTACAGGCAGTAATAATATCCTGCAGTTTTTGCAGGAAAACTTCATGAAACAAGTTCTGTTGTTGTTACATACAGTTAGCAATGTCCCTAGCTAGGATTTTGGTGCTTAAACCAGGTAGCAGTAGTCTGACCCAGGGTGCTCGGCTCAAGGGCACGTTGGCATTCGTCTCTCAGAACTAGGTCGTGAATATCTTGTACACTGGTCAGTAGAGGGCAGTGTCTCAAAATTTTATGGATTTTCTAAAACCATAAAATGTTATATGTTGTAATTCACTGGAAATATATTTGACATATTTTTCTCTAAGCTGGAAACATCTTACTTTTAATCAAAGAAGAAAGATTACCAGCTGTACCGGTCACCACACAGAGTTCTCCAATTTTGAAGGTGGAGAGTAATCATCAACAGCTAATTCAGAAATCTATAGAATGCTCGGTTCCAATTCCATTAACTTAGATTTGCATCTATATATCTCATTCTCCAAAGCTTGGTTTAGAGAATTAAGCTACAAGGCCAAGAAAACACACACTCACACACACACACACACACACACACGCATGCAGAATCTGAGTCATAAACCATGATCCCTGGTGTTACACAGTCCTTGTGTTCTCTTGCTCAGCCTCACAGCCTCTCAGCTCAGCTCCTACTTGATAAACTTCCCTTGATGCTCGGTATGATTAATGATGGTTAACCGAATTGAGCTGAGGTTAAGAGAGACATGGCTGAGGCACAGGGGGGCGGTCAGAGGGGAGGGAAAGGGTAGCGCTGTGATGAAGGTAGCAAGTGCGGTAAATAACTTCTTTAGAAGAAATATACAGCGGCCCCTTCTCGGCGCCCTCTCTGCTATGCCAAGTAATTACTCGCCCCGGCCTCCTGTAATAATTCCTATTACAAGCAGAACGGAAGAGTCGGTAACTCAGCACGCAGGACAAGGTGAAGGCAAGGCCACAGAGCAGCGGATCAATATTTCATTTACTCACCCTGCCTCTCCATCCCAGGCCGGGATCAAATTCACCGGTGGAGGTGGATGGAGGGAGAACAGGGGAAGGAGGGAAGGAGGAAGAAAAGAAAAGAAACAAGGTCCATGGAAAACAACTACACAAGGCCTCTGATTTCCTTGGGGTTTTTCTGGAGGAGGAGGGAGCAAGGCACGGGCTCTGGAGATGATGCCTGTGGAGGTCAGGTGTGTGTGCGTGTGTAAACGTATAAAGAGTCGCCGCAAGGTCGTCAATCAAACACAATCATCGGCGAACAGAAGACTCACTTAGCCACATAAGAAGACCCTCGCAGTGATCGTTTGTCCTTGGACTCATTTCAATTCACCTGAAGACATTCAAATTACCAAAAAAATTACAAGTCCCTTCTATGTTGAAGTACTCAAGGTGATTTTGAAGCTCGTCCCTTCACATGAAGTGTCCTTCTATAATACAGTTTAACAGAATAGACAGAATAGAAAATGACAGTTGTAGCTGTTCATTTCTTCTGTACTGGAACAGATAGAGCTCCACCGGCTAAAACATAAAATAAATCAGTATTTAAGAACAGGAACCTGAACTTCGTCTGCAGTCTGAACTAACCTGAACACTCAGCTCTTTGGTGTGCCTCATGGTATTGTTCTCAGGAGCTTTAATGTCATTTGTCTTTAGCAGATACTGTAAACATGTTCAACAGTAGCCAGGTGTGGACCGCAGACAGGTGTATCAGGTCATTATACAGGGCGTGCACTTGTTAAATGTATCATTCAGAAATGTACAGATTCATTGGCCATTGAATGGAATCTGCAGCCAGTAATTTTGCGCACGTGTTTAGTGTCAGCGAAGCGAAGAAGAAACTCACACTCACAGACTGGAGCTATGATATCGTTACTTTACAGTGAGCCAAGAAGGCAAACCTAATGTGACTCTAAAAAAACACCCTGATCCAGTTGAACATTCACAGCCAATCCTGTTTTTGTAACATTACAGGAGTAGTTTCAAGGCGAGCGTTAGTTTAACTTTAAGTAAATGTTGAAGATGAAAAGACAAATCCTCTGTCAGGTGATAAAGCAAAGATACTTTTGTTTGTCAGAAAAAACTGAATTAAACTGACCTTAATTCTTAAGTAATAGCACTCTGCTTATGTTGGCAGTCTTCCTTGTTGTTTTCTCTTGTTGGCAGCTGAACATAATCTAGAAATGCTTTTAGTTCAGTAATTATTGAAAATGTATTTCTTAGGCAAGGAAACAGGAGAGGTTGTTCATTTTTCACTATGAAAATATGGATATTTTTTAATCATTTTATTGTTTCTATCTTTTTTAGAAGAGGACTTGTGGAACCTTTGCCCGAGACAAAAACAGAAAACATGGCTGGTTTCTGAGCAGACACTTAACCTGAGCATGAACATATAAATGACCAAAATATTCCAGACATGTTCCTGACTCTCCAAAAACAAAGCTGCTCTTCTTGCCACAAAGCGGACGCTGGCTCGGATCAATAAACGAAAACACTCTTGACTTCCCCAGAGCTGCTCTCCAAACGCCATCGGTCCTGTCCGAACCACAAAGGTCAGTCTTCTTGGGGGGGGGGGGGGGCAGCTCATGCATTAAAGACTGGGGCGAGTTATGGTCTTTGAAGGCGAAGGAGGTGGAGGAGTGAATTTAATAAATAACAAATTCCCCTCAGCTCCACAGAGCCATGCTTTGTGTTTAATTGCACTGTATTGATTTTTCCTTCTCTTTTTCTTTTCATTCTTGAGCCGAGCATTACTCTCGTTTTGGAACAATCAGGTGGCGAAGGTGGACCGCGCAGTAGAATGTCATTCATCCTCCTCCTGCTTCTCCTCCTCCTCCCACTCCTTCTACGACTCTTTCTCCCCTACACTTTCTTCCACCGTCCTTAAAATGCCTTTTCTGTTTTATACTTTTAGCCCTGACTTCTTTACCGTCAAGGTTGCCATGTGATTACGTTGGTTGGTTGTACGTGAGGAATTGTGGGTTTATTAAGAGACAATGTCCACATCTACGAAGGGTTTCCGACAACTATATTATATCTAAGAATGTACTGTTTTGATTTTGTATTCACGATGAATGGAAAGTAACAGAGAGAAATCATGAAAAGTCCTGTATTCTATCTGTAGAAAAGAGTCGTCGTCTTCTTTACAAACACACGTAGCTGTGGCCTGAACCTTTGTTCCCGTCTCTGAGTGTTTATTATCATAATTTCTTTGTCCTTTTCCCTATTTAGCACATTTACCTTTAATAATGTGTGTCAAGAAGTTTCGGCAGTAAAGGTGACCAAAAGCACAAAACACAAAAGAACTTTTTACTCCATTATGAAAAATAATGAAAGTCTGTTGATTTCCCCCTGGTGGGTCGTCAGCCCTCACCTTTAAATAGGAGCGCGTGGTAAATGATGTGTTTTGAGCTGATGGGGGTTCAAATGAAATGCCATGGATAAAGCTACTGTAACTCGACCTCTGCTCATGTAAATCAGAGAGAAGTTTACACATGTCGACGGTGGCGTCCCACTGCTCCCAGCCTCATCTGCAAACGCAGGTGTATTTTCATGTAAAAGGAAAAGCAATTTGCGATGATCCTCCCCTTTAAAAGCGGACTTGACATTTCCTGCCATTATGAGCACGACGTGTCCCATTATAAAATGACTTATATGTGAAAATGTCAGGTGAATTACAGCTTGCCGGGGTGAAATTAGTGACACGCAGCCATCATCAGCCCACATCAACCTCGCTACACAAACCACATCAACTGCACATCACAATTACACATGGGATTTGATTTAATTTTTTTACAACAAAAAGTTTTTATTAATTAAAGTGTTATTATGAAGTACAGACCTTGGCCACCTTCTTCAACTGTTACTTGTCCTTCTGTTCCAACAAAATACAGATTTGTTTATTATTATTAAGAATGTTGATTTATCTCAAGTGTATTTCTTCATGAAGTGCTTCTTAAAGTGAAACAGACAAATGTTTTCTTTCAGAGGCCAACTTTGTCAACCAGAGGTAGGACGCTGCACAGACGACTGGACGAGGAGACACACAACTACTAACCTTGCAATTAGAGAAAAGACACAAACTGTGTGTGGCATTATGGAGAAAATGCTCATTCCACGTCCTTCTTTTCTCCCCCACTGTCTGCCTCCAGGCCAGCTCAGGGCAGTCCTCTGACATTGGTTTAGAGCTGGATAAACTTTCTCAGCATAGCAACGGTAACCAAGTGGAGTGGAGGAGCGTGGCATGCAAATTTTGATAGTCTGCTAAAGAGGTTTCATTCTGTTGGTCAGTCTGTCTGACTGTCAGTCAGACTGACAGTCAGACTGACTGACTGTCTGACTGACTGTCAGTCTGTCTGACTGACTGTCTGACTGTCTGTCTGTTGGTTTGATCTCTACTCACAGCAGTGTTTAAAAACCTCTGTAATACAGTAGGTCTGCAGACTTGTGACTGTGATAGATACAGATCTAATCTAGTGTTGGTTCTAGACACAGCCTAATGCTCTGCCCCAGCATTAACTCTGACAATCAGATCCTGAGCCATCTGCCAGTTACTGACAGCAAACTAGAGGCGAGTAGAGGCGACTTATATTGTTCTGTGGAGCTGTACACCTCCAACAACCAAGAGATAAAAACTCCAAGGATACATGTGGTCTAACGTATCGCCCAGATTCACACTTGATAGGTTAGGGCGGTTAATCCACTAGTGGACTAGTCAGTTTTACTGCTCCACTATGACACTAGAGCTGGATGGTTCATGGCCCATGAACGCCTCACAGGAATGCACTGGGGTTCGATCAAACTCAGGTTAAAAACCACTGGGTTAGAAGCTTTAGAGCTTTGCACTATTAGGGTGTTATTACTGCCACCTACTGGATCTTTCTTCTGGAGAAAAATTGCACTGAAACTGTAAAACACAGGCATAAATAGTTGCTATAGATGATGAAAGATCCACTTGACTAAGATCATCAGTTCCATGTTGTCACAGGTTAATGTTCAGGAGAGTGCGTGCTTCATTTTTAAATCGGTGGACCTTGAATGTATTTACACTCATCCATCCATTTTCATCCGCTTATTCGTTACCGGGTCGCGGGGGCAGTAGTCTCCACGACCGCCACCCAAATCACACTTCACCGTACCAACCCCCCTGAACCTTCCTGCAGGTGGTGAGTCCACCGGAAGGTACCAACCGCCCTAACCGGGATTCGATCCTGCCCACGAGGTGAACCCTGGGGTTCCACACCAATGACAGAGACGTTGCCTCTGGGCCAAAGTGCCACCACTCTGGAGCACATTATCTCAAAATTGTTAATTAGGCCAAGCTGATGTGTCTGCAAAAATTAAATTCAAGGAATACACACCCTTACACATATTCAGCCTTTGTGCCATCAGCACTCCTTGAAAAAGATGATGACATTCTCCGTTCCTACTTACCTCACACACTTAGTCACTAATCATCAGCGGCAGATTTCCAATGCAATCTGCCTGAGGTCATGCCTCTTTAATTATCCAAACAGGTCAAAGGTCACAGACACTTATCATGTGGCAAAGGGTCAGAGGGCAGCCACCGGGGTCATGGAGGTCAGCACAGTAGCAGTGTACAGGGAGAATCAGGCAGCAGATCCTGCTTAGTAACCAGACGTAATAAGTGTCGACCGTCACGGAATAGCTTGATGTGCGAGCAGAATAACCACGACTGCAGAGGAAATTTTAAATAGATACGTGGAATAATGTCAGACAGCACAGGTCACTGACTCGATGCATGTGCAAATGTGTGTTTCAATTTTTTTTAAAGAACCTACTGTGGTGATTTGACATCAATGTCATACTTGAAGAGGTATCCACCAATTGTCATATATCATAAGTACATAATCGTTTCAGTTCATTTTTTAAAAAATTCATAGATAATAAAACTACATGAGTGAGTTGATACAGCTGTGAGTGATGATAGACATTGTCTACATGGGCTTTGCACAAACGATTGCACAGATTTAACACCAGTGAAAGTGATAAACGTATATATCCTGTATGTAATTTAAGGACTGTGTGTTGTGAATGTCTGACTGTTTCTGTTTCCCATTTTTTCTTCAGTACTTCAGTACAATTATTCTCTGCCTTTAACCTGACTGTGAAACAATCCTGGTCCTGTAATCATTAAACCACAGGCTGTGGACATTTACTGTCTTTACTGAATCATTTGACACGACTGGACGCAGCATCACTCAGGACTATGAGTAAAATTTGTATTTGTTAATAATTATTGCTTGAAGGTTGTAGTTAGCTGTAATCAGTTGTATTATAAGGTCATACTGTATAGTGAGAACTACATTCATTATTAACACACCTGCCTGAATCATATTAACTCTATGAAGGCAGTAGTATAAAGTATGGATCTTACAGAGCTCTCTTACTAAGTTTATAAAGTGTTTTAATGTTTGAAAGTTTTTTCTCTTAAAGTCCTCACATGAAGACATGTAGCAAGACTCTCCCTCTCTCTGTCACACACACACACACACACACACACACACACACACACACAAAGACACACTTTTAATTGACTTTTCTCAAATTTAATTACCTTCCGTATCAGACTGTTCCACTCTGTGTGGACACCACCGTCTTCCACCTTCTCCCTCAAACTTAACCTCATTATGTTTTTCTTTTTCAAAAACACACACACACTCCCACCTCTTTGTCTGTTTCTTTCAGAGGGTGTGAGATGACTGACAGCTCTGACACAGTCAGTCAGCTACGCCGTCAGCAAGGTCACGCTGTTGTCTGGTTCTGACTGGCTGTAGAGCTGATTTCTCTGTGTCACACTCAGAGGTATTTACTTATCGGAGCCTTCAGAAAAAAAAACCCCAACAACAACAACAACAACAACAACAACAACTCAGAACAACTCAGAAACAGTTTTCTGTTTATGTTTAATTAGGAAATACTTCCGAGTTTTTGTTCATATCAAGAAAGAACTTAAACAGACATATAGAAACAAAGATAGAGGACGGTTTTAGAAAAAAAAAATTGATCTGACATTTGAAGAAGACCTTTCTTATGGAATAGTGTGCTTACATTCAATGACATCATCAGTTTATTGTAGGGATCAAATACTCCTACTGATCCGGTCACCTGCTGCTCTGTAACAGCTTTTCACTCCAACCAGCTGCACACCTGTCATATTGTATAATTATAAAGAATCTTCAGCTGTACAGTGTCTCTGTATTCTTTAGGCTGAAGTGCAATACACTGTATTCAGTATTGTAATATTTATATTTTGTTGCTTTTACTGTCATTTATATAATGTGCTCTTCTTTATGTTTGAACTGTCTGTTTTGTTCTCTTGCGAATCCTATCTGAAGAATACTCATTTATAGATTTATCTGGCTGAAAATGTGTAAAGAAAGTGTGTTAATTAGCCCAACTCATTTAAAACCATTAAAATATAAACAGTCACTGACGACTGATTAGTATTTTACTGTGGAATAATGGAAAACAAAAGCATTGTCACTAAGGCTTAAACTGATATTTACTCACGTGTGCTCACAAGCACAGACACAAACAAACACACACTATACTGTATATGTCTGAGACTCAAACTGACCAAACATGCACACAGGCAATTATGGCTGCATGTTTCTTTATTCTGTTTGCCCCTGGAGAGATTATGGAAATAATCGCTTTAATGAGCTCAGAACTAAAGATGGGACCAGGATTCTTCCTGTGGGACGATGTCGACTGTTGTACAAAGGCTACAGCCTACACTGTGTTGTTGTGTCGAACAAGCCCACAGCTCAAACACCGTTCATTTCAACCTCCATCACTGCCACGCTCTTTGTTGCATTGTTTTCTGAACGTGTGTGGAACAGAGAGTGTGGTGTCTGTGTGCGTGTGTCTGTGTGTGTGTGTGTGTGAGAGAGAAGTTTACACCACTGTGGTTTTTGCTATTGTTACAAACAACACTGTGATTAACCCTTTAATTTCTCTTTCCATTTTTAATGCAATCTTATCTTAACTATACTATCATGTGATTTGAAGTCATTTTAATGTTGCAGCAACAGGAAATGTTTGCCTTCAACCATCTATTCTACAGAGTGGATGAGGTTAAAACATTACACTAACATGAAACATAAACTTCTTTTAGATTTTTGAGCTTTTCTTTATTCTTTTTTTGAGGGAAAATGCCCGTTTGAGTGAAGCTGTCCTAACCTGTGCATCTTCAAAAACAGTACAGCGTGCACTAAAGCACTGACGGGAACAACGAAAATGGCCGCGTCATCTGTCATCAGCACTTCACTGGTGCAGCTGTCATTAAATCTCAGCAGCTGCATCCAGGCAGTGCACTGACATTTTATCATGTCGATCATGGATCACACCAGACCTTTTATTTTCTGTGACAATCTGACAACCATGTAAAAAAAATTACATTCCATGAACGTAATATTTCCTTATTTATAATAAACACAATAAATATATGATCTGTGATGTGTATTTTGCATTCTGTCACTTCATTTCAATATTAAAACGTTTTGGACAGGAACAGACCAGATCTTTCAGTGTGTCTATTTGCAGGTGAATCCAGAAAAATCCAGTGTCTCAGGTCAGGTGTAGCAGCAGGTTTTGTTTGTGATCTAGTTCATAGTCACTATTTCCATCATTCAATCAAGGAAGTGGGGCACTTCCTTTCCTTTAATAATAAAAATAAAAATACTCAGGTTTCTCTTGTGTTTCTTACTATATCAGAGTGGAGCAAACCATGGATGTTAAATGGGACAAATCACCACAATCAACACAAGACAATTAGACAATGTATTTCCGACCACTTTACCTCATCAACAGGGGGGTGGCAGAGGAGAGGGTGGCTGAAATCATTCCCAGCAGTCATTGGGGGAGGCTGGGTTAAGACCTGGACAGTTCGCCTGTTCATCACAAATCCACACATAGAGACAAACAACCATTCACTCTCACATTCATACGTCTGGTCAGACAACATAATTTGCACGTCCAGGGCCTGTGGGACAAAGAAACTCTGTGGCATGTGTGGTTTCTGTGCACACACACACACGCTGAGAACATACAAACTCCATACAGAAGGACGAAGACTTTCTGGATTGCATATATTTTCCTTTTATAACCAACTTTAACAAAAGCATCTACAGAAGAAACAATGACCAGAAAAAAGTGAAAGAGACACAGTTGAACTGGGAAAGATGCTAAAGGGCAAAGAGTCTCTCCCCACCAGGGAGGCCTGGCTGAGTGAAAACACATGCAGCTAATAGGACACAGGTGAAACACATGAGGGGAGAGCAG